TTTTTTCCTCCTCACTCACCCCACGATGATTATTTTTAATTGGAGAATTTACAGATTTTGATTTTATCGGAAGGGTAGCCCTTTTTTTTTATTATAGTGAATATATATATATATATATATATATATATATACACACACATGAAATTTGGTACCTACATGTGTTTTAACATCCCCCATCGATGAGCTGCCGTTTAACGAACCGCAAAGAGGCCGGTGCCATTTATACCCCCACAGGCTATTATGACTTTTCCCGCCCTTAGATGCAATAAATATCGCTTCGCACCCCTGCCAATTATATTCGCCTCGTTCTCGGGATACGGCACTCGCAACGTGCGAACATACGGTCACGTACATTTTTTTTTTGTTGTTCACCCCTACTGTAACCAACCCTAGGTACCTAGGCATCGACTACCCCTGCAGATACCGTGACTACATTATTTCATTGATGCCAGTCATCAATGTTTTAGGGGTTGCATTGTGTAGACACTTTAGAATTTTTCCGGTACCGGAAGTCACTTGTTTCAATGATAACACACATCGTGAATGCATTTGATTTAATTAAGGGCACGTTTCGATGTTCACTTTTGATATTACCAGCAACCCCGTAAAGGGGGTTCTTGAAATTTTGAAAATTGAAAAAAAAAAACATTTCTAAAACACCTTTCTACAATCGGTCGACTAACTTTTTTATGGGAATTAAATTTAACGATTTTACATTCAATTTTTCAAAATAATCCAATGCTAACGAAGCGCACTCACACGGTACCATATATCCCGAATCTTCTAAATACCATCAGCAACGTTCACGTTACATTTGCGGCCAATTAATCTGACCCGGGATAGAGTCCATTTACTCGGCATTACTATTGATGAAAATATATATATATACTAAAATCATTATATTTACTAATTATGAGAATTTTACTCAAAAAATTTGTTTCCAAAATTTTTTTTCATTTTATAATTTTTTTTCAACTCTTGAAATCCAAAGCAAAATTTCTATAGTAAATATATTTTTGTAGGTTGATCTGAAATTTACAGGTCATTCCTATGGGGGGTCACTATCCAAGTCAGTGATTACAGAGAGTCACTCTTGAGGAAATTAAACTAATGCACAATTTTTAAGTGAACGTAGGGGTGGGTCAGTGTTACGAGGCGACGAAGCGTGTAAAATTACGTATATAGAGTAAGAGGGTTGAAATTGTACTACGGGGGTAGAAAAGTAACCAGCGTACAGTACAGACGTAGACCATCCGTAGAATCACTGCGGTGCGGACATACTGTGCAGACAATTAGTTTAATAGGCCGACAGTTGTTGTCTGGCAAAAGTCGAGGGGGACACCGATGTAACGTTACGCCCCTAAGAGCTGTCATTAGTAAAGCAAAACTTGATCCGATATATTTGTATATTAGGAGATAAAAAAATGTTTTCCCTTGCCACGAGAACGACTGATAAAAATTTTAATTAAATAATTTCGTTTTTTTTTTGGTAAATCGTAATTCAGACTTCCGGAGTGTGATTAAAGTATCAATTAAAAAATGGGGTGACTACGTAGAAACGGTTCGAGCGCTTGAAATCAGCCCTTGTCTCTTTATCAGTGACGATATTTGAAAATCCAAAAAATTGGTAAATTTTGAAAAAATTAAAAAAAAAATTTCATTCCATTTCTTTTTTAATTCAATAATCCTTAGAGTACGCTCTATCGTATTTCGATGCATTATTTATGTATTGCTTCTTACTTAGTATTTAAATGACGATTCTGTAGCACCCTTAGATTGGAGTATTTTCAATGAAATCGACCTTCACTTGTCCAGTAGAGAGTTTAGAGAGACTCTTGAGTTTAAGTGTGGCGAACCAACCCTATAAAAGAGGGAGGGACAGTAGAACGGCACGTGTAAGCTGCACGTACGTCCTGGGTTACTGCAAAGGGTTGCAAGGGGTTCAGGATCAGCATTCGTTGTTACAGGTCACATTTAAATAGTTTTTGAGCTGATCGTAACATGCGCGTATAAAAATTGTAAAAAAAAATATCGTAATTTTTAGAATAAGGGGTGAACTGAAAAATAAGGGAATTTAGGGAAAATTGTAATTTTTTTTTAAGGGGTATATATACAGTTAAAATTTTCAAAAAATCGATTTTTTTTTAATTTTATTTTCGTAATGTACGTATACTTAAGTACACACACAGAAAATTTCTTGTCAATCCGGCGAATATTCTCGAAGTTACACGCACATTTGTAATGACGTGGCAAAGCGTTTCAAAGTACTTTGAAACTTTAAACGCGTTTTTCTCAAAACTGTGTTTTTAAAGTCGATGAGCAAGATTTCTCGGAAATGGCTAAACCGATCAGTCTGAAATTTTAACACAAGCTTTTTAAGTATATTTTTTAGTAATTTTGTTTATAATATTTTCCATTTTATAAACAATTTAAGGCCTAAATTTTTGTCAAAAACCGATTTTTTTTTGAGAAGCCCCCATTTTGTCAAAAATTATTATTTTGCTTATTCCTTCGATCAATTACAAGATAATACATTATATTAACGAAATATTTTTGGTTTTTTCATTTTAAATGATCCAGTCCAGAGATATCGTGCTCACCGCAGGACGCCTTTTTTTAGAGGTGCTCTCGGAGATCAGCTATAGCAGCTTTCAAAATAATTATTTTTACAAATAAAAAATGTTAAAATACAGTTAAAACTTACGATAATATGTGTACAAATTTTTACTTTAATACATTAAAAGGTCTTCTTAAGAAAAATTCTTGAAAAATCGATTTTTCTGGGCCTCCTGACTGTATATAACCCCTTAATAGAAATTATTTTTACTAACTTTTCGTAGAGGGCTTGCTATTAAGGGTAGTTGATCGTAAACAAATTCTACGGGTTACTGATTATGTATCAGTGGGGTAATTTTTGGGAATGGGGGTAATAAGCAACTACGTCGAAAAATAGTTACCGACCGGGTAGGTATTTACCATTTCATCGTTTTGTCCCGGCAGATCGTAAAACCTCTAATAGGCTATGGCTTACAATGGAATATAACCATCAATTCTGAATGATGTTGCGCACGTGAGCCCGCATAATAATAAAGAAATCGGATGAGGCTTTTGTCAGTGGCGATACTTTCGAATACACGCTGTTCTCTATTGTTACCAATATGATCGGCAATTCTGCTGCGGGATGTCTCAATAAATCTGTTTATTTCGTACACAGTTAGATGGTATTTATATTTAACGATATAATGACGCATAGAGATTTTTGGCACATCATTGGGTACTGTATATGGGAGAATTTCAATTCTAAGTCGGATTTGATTTTTTGGTAATAAAAAGTAGGAATATGCCAGTTATTATTCAAAATGATATAAACTAATTTGAACCTTCGGAAAGATACTTCGTTTCTTTGCTATGATTTTAAAAAAATATTTATTAACATACTATCTGCATTTTAATATCACTGCTAGTCAAAGATTGGATCGGGGTTAACAAGCAAGTTTTGTAGATAACTGTCATTTTTCAATGTTATCCTTTAATTTTTCAATGAAAAATCTATAAATACAACAGTTGTCCAGTTAGGAACCTACGCTGCAGGTTTATTACGAATGGTGCTGCCATCTATTGACACTTGTGAAATTTAGAGGAATGATAAATGGTAGGTACCTCACTGTAATAACGGTAAGTGAAAAAATCGCAGACATCTACATTACCGACCACCGATTAATTCTTGTAAGAATTTCGGAAATGAGGGTTGGATCTTGTTTTACATCTGTCGTTATTCTGTATACCGTTTGAGAGAAACTACCCTTGAAATTAGGGTAAGTAGGAAGTTTCTTTCAAACGATGGCACCACAATCCATTTCTCAACTGATTTCAGCCACTTTTGACACAATCAGCTTCTAATTTGAAATTCCAAAGATTCTTATACCAGCTTTCTAATGCGATTCAGTACCAATAGAAGAAAATACAATAATTATATATTAGAATCACGCATAAATCAACAAGCTCAATACAATTCCTAATAAGTAGGGGAAATCAATATTTAAAAAAAATTATACAAAATATTATCCCTATGAACGCGCTGCAATGAGAAACGAATAAAAAACATAAATTCTTTAAAATCCTCAAGCACCACCCTATTTCAAGTAACAATGATTAAACACTCAAATTCACTCGAGTGACCAAAACGATAGAGTCCCAGATAGCTTTTGATAATATAATTCGAAATTATTCACGGTCCTGGTGGATCATGCAGTAGACTTCACCCGGATGAAAATCATTGAAAGCCCATATACTATATACTACTAGGACACAATGACGATTCACCATAAGTCCCATAACATTATCGGTGCTCAATACTCACCCTAACTAAATACTTTGCTAGTACGAGTCACGCCCTTTTCTGTAAAGAGGGTTGCTACTGGTCAAAACCATCTCCCCAGGCCAAGACGACAAGGAACACATAGTTGAACCTAGACCTGGACCTGGACCTGGACCTGAAGCTGCTCCTGGTCCTGATCCTGGAAACATACCACGACCACTAAATGAATCCGAAAGGGTTGTCTACCCCTGATCCTGCGTTAATCCCAGGCTTACGGTTCACCTCAAGTGTAAATATTGATTCCAATCTATTGACGACACAATACTGTCATGACAATGACAATAAGGCTCTTCGACTTGTCAATGGACAGCGCGAGCCGCTGTCAAAACACTCGTTACTACCACCTTGCGATTAACGATTATTAAACGAAATACCTTCGACTCCCGATAAAGCGTGCGAGCTTGAATAGACTCTTCTGATCTTTGAAAATTGAGAATAATAAAAATCTAGATAAAAGATTAAGATAAATGAAAATATAAAAGATACACATCTGAGTTAAGATACCGAAGATACTGGATGGTAGATACACGGATTTTAATTATTTATAAAATTTTTGACATTTAATAGTAATCTGTGTATATAAAAACTATTTTTATATTATCCAAGAAATTGGTACTAATGATTTGGAAAATAATTTTTTTATTAAGACAGACAGACAAAAATGTGACATGAAATATCACCAAGCATTTCTTATGTGTTCCATCTTCATTCTGCCATGACCAGTTTGATTTGAACTATCCTGTACAATGGGTGCTCCAAAAAATGCTAATCTACCGCCGAGAGGAATTCCTGAATTCTCTTTATTTCCCGGCGAATTTTCATTAACAAGCACATTATGCTGGGCAAAGATGTCGGCCTGAAGTCTAGTTACTAAGATACCAAATCCTTCTATCAGACCTAAAAGAATTCCTCCGACTGTAGCACTGCCTAACATGGATGGGATTCCAGTTCTTGCTGCAAGAATTCCTCCTGTCAGTGCGCCGCTCATAATGGAATTCCAAGGATCCTCCTTCGAGCGGCAGTGCACTAAGCTGCACTCTATCGCCGAGAACAAACCACCCCAAATGGCAAAATTTCCAGCCACTAGAGGAACCCTTTTTTTCACTAGATTGAGTCCACCCAGAATACGTTTCTTAATGCCGGACGGAGCGTTTCGAAATCCGATGAAACTCTTAAAAAAAAAAGAAATTAACTCATAAATTGTCCACAATTTTAATAAGATCAATTTTTTTTTAATTTTAAACAAATCATTCTCACCTGGAATAGACTACCACCTATGGAACCCATTGCGAATGCTCCACCGCAATCATCAACTATTCTCCAAGGACACGGCTCTCGCGCGTACTCCATTATAGTTATTACACAATTATCCTCACTTTCAAAGATCTCATGGAGATAGCTGACGTGTAATTTTACGTTTTTAAATCAACTGTCATTAAAATTGATAACTCCTCTGTCAAACAATCCAAAAATCAGTATCCCATGATGTACTTTCGAAATATTCCCCACTCCCTGATACCACAATAATTTTACATTTCTATACGCATAATTTCTATTAAAAAAAAAAAACCTAACCTCTCTCATCAAATGATTTTTTTATCAAACTGAAGTATCATCACAACCACCACAGATAGTCATTTTTAATTTTTCAATTCACCTGCAACTAAAAACTGTCATATATTTCCCCCAAAAAAAAATAAATGCATAAAATAATCCAATGATCCTTACCCAACCAGATCCAACGGCCAGACAATTGCTCAAAACATCTTTACCATAACCCTGGTGTGTTATTCGATCCAAAATGTAGTCGCTATAAGGGTAGTTCGAATATGAGCATCCTAAGTGAATAATAAACAGCAGAGGGGTTAGATACATACGGCTTATGGGTTACATGGGTTATGAGGGTGGCCTTTCTAAGGTAGCCATATTGGTCGCATGCCTCAGGCTTACAACTGTGCCTTCGTCACTTTAGCAAGACTCCCCAACGACTGTGACAATTGCATAACCATTATACGATGATTAACCACCAGTACGTGGGTGTAATAGGAGAAATAAGTGTACAGCCTCGCAGCAACACCGTGTCCAATGACAGAACAACTAAATCCCTAGGATTGTTACCACGTATTTAACCTCACGGGAGAAAAACGCGTGTGGCGCCATCTGTCGGTATAACGTGTCATTCTCTTGAATTACAACCAGACGTAAAGTCTATCAGGTAACTTTTATATACTGTGTGGATCATAACTAATACCCGCACTACTTACAGCATTATAGTTTATGGTATGCATCATGCCACGTGAGTGTAATGAACAGAGGACTGGCGAATCTCAATGCGGAGGCAGTTTATAAGGAAAGGAGGAAAGGAATATACAGAGGAAGCGTGTAAAACAGTAGAATGACGATAGCGCGAAGAGTGTTAATTAATACGTAACGTCTCAGGCAATTAAAGTAATAACCTATAATAAGGAGAGGTTCAATGAACGAAATATTGCAAGAGCATTTTCCGTGATGATCAACGTACAGCTAAGGGAATCTGTAATGGACGACGTAGGCTGTGATAAATAAATTTATGGTACGCAGAAGATTATCGTTGACGGTGCTAAATTGTACGATAATTTAAAGGACGTTGAAGTGATTGAAGATATTGAATGTTGAATCGAGGATATTCTATAGGATCACGTGAGTTTTACATGTAAATTTATTTTGATCCAGTAACCAGTACCCTTTCTTTATCCAAATTCTAATCCAATAGCATCGACCGTACGTTAAGCTCAGTGGTTAGTGACGGGTTTTCATTACGCGAACGTTTATTATTTAAAATAGGACTACACCCCCGCAGTATGCCAGCTCGCGTGTCTATACCTTTGACGTTATTACCAACCCCTTTTCGTATCTTTTATACAGTCCGATCGACGGCGGCTGATTCTCTTTGTCGTCGGGTAGTCACTGGCCATTGTTGTGAATCGCCATGCGGATCGCCAAGCCACGCGACAGCTGGTTCGATAATCGATAACCATCGATATTCGAGTTAGGGGCTGACATAACGATATATATCGACCGCCATCACTGAATTTTCTTTTCTCTTGACAATTTTTATTTACATCTTTTTACTTCGGGTGACAAACCAAAAAATCGTTACGCGGTTCGTCAATTCTATTAATTTTTTTCGTTCAATTTATGAAAATTCTTATTCTATCCGTCCAAACTTTGATTTCTGCATTGTACGTTATTTATACGTTTTCGTACATGGGATTGTCGGTTACTACGTGATTCAGCTAGTGCTTTATCAAATTTACATGAATATGTATATGAGAGCCCTAAGTATTTATGAAACGTCTTGGGACGCGATATTAAATCTCTGTTATTATTTCGAGCAGTCTCAGACACAATGGCGCCTGAACAATCCGAAACATAGATACGAGTATGGGCGGCTGTCGCAACAACACGAGTGTTTTCATAGGTCCGATGAACACTAAGCGTAAAAGGGGCTTCGGTTGCTAAGCGGTATCATTGTGTTCTCGTAACTCCTTATGAACAATAATAATAATAATAATACTCACAATAATAATAGAGAAGATGGCGCCGAATATTCTCATATACAATTCCAGTATTGAGCCGTCAACGATATCCAAAAGGAATAAGTGACTAAAAAGAAATATATTTTCGTACGATTAAAATGGTTTATATTATTTTGAAGAATTACAATAGAAAAAAAAAGGCTTTTCTCTATATCCATTTATTCAGCCAATGTATGAATCATCTAACCGGTGAGTATAAATGTTCATTATACGTACTTGAACTCGTACCTACCGATCATCATCCCTTGGCTCTTATAGGCTTCTATAGGGGATGTTGAACGGTACTCGTGTCGCGCCACCCCATTTCAGGCTTAACCAACCGCATAAGTACCTCGCACGGGTGACAAAAGGGTTTCATCCCCAAGAGTCCTAAACGTACTAATAGATTACACAAATGCTCTTTGGAGAATGACAGCCGGATGATCGGCGGGATTTTTAAATATTCATCAAAGAATTTACCGACGTTTGGACGTTATCTCTGCTTTCGATGACGGGCTGAGTTTTTTCCTCTGTATTATTTCACTCGCGCAAACAATTATACGTTCCGTCTTATGGAAACGTATAGATATACTCGTACAGTGTAAAAATTTTTTTTAACAACTTTACAGAAAAAAATCTTGTACCAGCCAAATTCCAACGAGCCGCTCAGTCGACAAAGGGTGTCCGGAGGGTGAAAAATTGAATTAGCAGAAAATTGGCGAAAAAATCAAGGGAAGCCAAGTAATTCCTTGGGACGCCGTAAGATATATTGTAACAAGGTAAGAAAAGGCAGCCAGGAGTGTCCATAAAGAAGCGTCCAATGAAGTGAAGTGGAGTGAAGTGGAAGCTGCGGTACCTCTTTACACATTTTCACCAAGGCTCTTTCATCGTCTACTCCGCCCTGGGATCGACGACAATGCTCCGCCGTGTCCTGGCACAAAGCTAAACACCCAAAATATTGGCAAATCCTGCTATTCACCGGGCGCGAGTATCTCAAGTCCAATCTCCGGTTAGCTAATCCTGTTAGACAGCCAAACCGTCACGTTTGTGGCGTTCGAAAAAATCCCGCTTAATTTCAACCGGAAGATGAATTTACGAAAGCGGAAGTGCCATTGAAAAAAAAATATTTTCTACCGCACTTAGATTTTGGAAATTCAGACGTTCTACAGTGGTCGCGCGATTCTTTTGAAAAATTTGCAAAATTACTTTCAATCCTGACCTCCTCGCCTTTTCTGCGCTTTGACCCGGTGGTTTGAAAATTTGAAAAATATATTTTTACAATTTTCTACCAATCTTTAGACTAGCGGGAATAACATTTTTTTTTTACAAATACAAAATTTTTTTTACTACCAATAATTGTTCTCGTACAAATAGCTTTGTTCCTGCCAGACTACAGAAATAAATTTCACTCAAAATTTGCGTTCCTCTTCCGCTTTATCCGACAAACAACAACAACAACAGCCAATAACTGTACTACCACTTTCCCAAGTTTCCAGGGTTACACGAGGAGTTTATAAATTATGAATATTTAAGAAGATCAGTATGGCCGACATCGAGTGGCCGAGCAGCCGCCCGGCCGCATATATATATATATATATATATATATATATATATATATATATATATACATATACATATTTACCTTAGAAAATGAGCAAAGATAGGAGGTCACTAAGGGTAAGAAAGTGGGGATGGCAGGAAAGCGCTTATGAAACACGATGTACCCGATGTTCGAAAGGAGAACAGCCCTTTGAGTGAGACATCAAAGCTAATGGACTCTTCAAGAATATATATACATATACTATACGCCACACAGCTTTGATATATAATATACATATAGCTGTTGTTACATAGACCCTCCTAAAGCTCAAGCTCTGACAGCACTCATGGCCACCAGTGGCACGGGGCACTGTAGCGAGTAGTTACGGGCCTGAGGTACGAGCCTAAGAGTAAAGACGTCGGCTGTCTGCTTTCGTGTTTAGTGCCAGTTGATTGCAAGCTCATTAGAATATGCATAAAGCTTTCCAAGTAAATGACCCTCTCGGGATTGAACCTTAATGCACACGTAAATTATTTACCCAAGTCATTATTTCCGCTAGTTTTAAGAACGCAGAGTCTTTCTTTGTATCTTTAAGATAATTATAGGGCTTCTTTTTCTTCTTCTTTCAAGTTCACTAAATCAAAACGTTGCCTATGTTGTTCATATTGATACTGTAGCCTTTTTTTACCTTATATATCTATTGTATATCTATTGTATGTCTTACTACAGTTCCTTTCGCTAACTCTCACGAAAATCTATTGATTCTTATGAACTGTAACCTTTTGGAGAAATATATATATATATATATATATATATATATAGAGAGAGAGAGAGAGAGAGAGAGAGAGAGAGAGAGAGAGAGAGCGTGAGTGCGACAGAGATAGCGAATGAGGTATAGATTGCGGGGGGAGGGAGGGGGAGAGTTTGAAAACCGATTACGAACGTATCACGGGGTATCAAAACCTGAGACTACTGCCGAACCCCAGTCACGAAACTACCCCTAAAGTTTTAGCAGAAGGGAACGAGGAACATTTATTCGTTGCACAGGAAAAAATTGGTATTTCGAATAATTCGTTCGATTCGGTAGGATAATGTGGATTTATAAAAAAAATCTTTTAACAATGGAATTTTGCGAGGAACGAAATTTTTATATTCGTCAATTATTAAGATCGATAATCGATTATATCGTAACCATGGAAACGCGTGTTTCGTTGCGAGAAATCGCAATGATTTTTTTCGTTTAATTTATATGAAAAATGAAGGATTTCGAAAATGAGAAGAAAATGGAATTTTTTGTAAAATCATCAAAGTACGAACCTCTTTTTTTTTTCGTTATTTTAGCGAAATTTCATTTCGAGCAATGGCCGCGGCTTTCTTACGCCGAAGGACGATGCGCTCGATGAAACTTAATGCAGGAAAGAAAATGAAATTTGAGAAGCTGTCAAATGGGCGCCATGCATCTGCCACTTACTCAACCACCCTCGATCGTTAGTTCCATTTTTTTTTTTTACAATGCCACTCCATTTTACCACAATTATCCCCATTATTCGAAATGCCGACCTTTTTAGCGTCGGGACGCTCTTGACTATATATATATATATATGTACGGGCTAACCTGCGTTCTTCGGATGCTCCGATTTTTCTCTATTACCTTTTATTCTCCAGGGACAACGCGATTCTGGTTTCAAGTTGGTACCTACTGCTTACAACGTTTTACACGACGCCATAGCGATCTTAATCGTTTTTGAAAATCCCATCAATTTTTTTTTTCGTAACCGTCCCATTCAAAATCTCAATCTGACAGAAGTGTCATCTTGTCAAAGCATAAATTTCTTTTTCTTTTTGCAAAAAAAAAGAACGCCAATCAACAAATAATATTAATTAAGGATTTTTCGTTAAAAAATTCTTTTTTGAGTATTTTTCCATTTTGAAATTTGTCTTAGCTGACGTACACGCATACAAGGAAAATGAATCAAGGGTAAAGTAACTAGGATATAAAGGCTAATGGTATAGCAAAATGGTGGTAAACTCTATGGGAGTGTGTGAAGCCGTCGATATTATTTGTTCAATCGGCTTGACTATTTACTTTAACAGGGTGGATATGGTTGTACGTGCGTCCATGCGTATACACGGGGTACACAGTGTTACCAACACGCAGGGTTGTATTTCCGGATGTAGACACACGCGGAGGCCCGATGAGGGCTGTTATTTGCAACAAAACGCAACAATTGCTGGAATTCGAGCCGGGCCGGGTAACACGGGGCCGATGAAACGCCATATTGCGGAGCGCGGCTGGATGTAAATTGTGTTTTGTAAAAGCCGAACGACAGATATGAGACCAGCATGGCGGATGCTTACAAATAGTTGGAGGGCGGCGCCCAAGAGAGTTTGGGCCCGGTGTATTAATGCGTCCTCATGCTTTTTGTCACCGAATTAATAAAAGCTGCGCGCGCAACCTTTAGAAAAAAAAATGTTATTGGAAGAAAATTTGCGGGGTGGAGGGGGGGTGGGGTGGAAGCGAACGGGTTTTAAAACTTTTTTTTTTACAGAACCGCCCTTAATTTTTTTTAAATCCTCATAGCCTCGAAAAAAACCAATTCAAAATGGCGCAATAATTTTTATGAAATTTTGTTTGCGTACACTACGTTTTTGACACTAAAAAATTGTGCACTCTCCCAAAGACCCCAAAAAGTTCGAAAAGACGATTTTTGCTGGTGCAAAGAAAAAAAAAATTGATCCGTTATAAAATTTACGTATTTATCAAAATACAAAGTTGATTGCGTAAAATTTAGATTTTTCGTGAGCGAGATACAAACGACGGGCAAACAATGAAAATAATGTCGTAGGTAATCGATCCGCAAAGATTGCCAATAAATAGCGCGATAGATACTCCATCGCGGTTAGGGCGTACGGATAGCCACGTAGAAATGAAACGGGAGACAGAGGAACGAATGAGAAGAAAAAAAAAAAAAAGAAAAACGTCGAATCGAGGAAACGCAGCACCATTGAACTCCACCTCAGCCCACGGTCGGATATGATATCACGGCTCACGCTGGAGGATAAGAGTCGAGCCAGTGGTATACTGGCGAGATCAATATCTCTGTTAAAATGGGCGTGGCCGGGCAGGGCCCACTTTAAACCACGCCCCCTTCGTCCCATTGGCTCTCCGCGTGCCAGTTGCTGATTCGGAGGCGCGTGTTGGTCGCTCACCGAAAGTGGGCGTGGCCTCGAGACGCCCCTGGAAGGGGTGCACCCATCTCGGATACTTGGTCGTAAATCATAACGAGTCAGTTGCTCGGTGCGTTTCGGGGCAAACACCGTGAAAACTGGTGGTAAAAACATTCTCGGTCGGTGGCAGCTCCTTTTTCCTCGATTTGATAAATACTTTCGACGCCGTCAACGTCAAAGTATTACAAATGACGTGGTGCTCGACGTGAAGTCAGTGAATAGAGGATAATTCTCGGTTCGCCCATAAGCAATCAGGTTGAACATTGTTCAAAGGAGTGTTACTTCGTCGGGATGTGCAGCAACGAGAGTCCACCTCCTAGCAAGGAACCGCTTGCCGTTGGGCTGGGTGTTGGAAATCCAATGGCCGGTTTTCTACCGGGGTTGGAGCACTACCGGCTACAGCTATATCACTACGCTATGGCGGAACGACTGAGACTAGCTCAGCAGCTTCATCCTCAACATCCGAGCGTCGGACATCCACCCACTTCGGGAGCGTCGGCTCATCTGAGTATGGGCGCTGGATTTCCAGCTCCACTGCCGCTCTATCCAGCCGCTGGGTACCCCAGCCGATTGGCCCTGTCGATGGCTCTACTTCATCCGCATCATCAGCGTATACCCGAGGAGCCAAAGCCCCAGCACAGTTACATAGGACTGATAGCAATGGCTATACTGTCGTCGCCGGAGAAGAAGCTGGTCCTCTCCGACATCTACCAGCACATCCTGGAGCACTATCCGTACTTCAGGACACGGGGACCAGGATGGCGCAACTCCATAAGGCACAATCTCAGCCTGAACGACTGTTTCGTGAAGTCGGGTCGCAGTGCGAACGGGAAGGGTCACTACTGGGCCATCCATCCGGCGAACCTGGAGGACTTCAGACGCGGCGACTTCCGGCGGCGCAAGGCCCAACGAAAGGTACGCCGGCACATGGGCCTAGCCGTCGATGAGGAACCCGACAGCCCCAGTCCACCTCCGCTACCAGCCACCCCTCCGCCACCTCCACCACCGCCGCAACCCTCGATCCCACCGGCACCGTTACCCACCCAGACTCTGCCCACGCTCTGGACACCTCATCATCATCATCACCACCATCACCATCACCATCAGCAACAGCAGCAACACCACTCGCCACCCTCGTCTCTTCAGAGTCACTCCCTTCAGCAGTCCTTCCAACCCTCCAGGAAGCGACAGTTCGACGTGGCCTCCCTGCTGGCCCCCGATGATCATCACTACCACGTATCTAGGATCGCCAAGTCCAGGCGATTCAGCTGCAGCGAGGACGAGCTCCAGGAACCGGAACAAGAGAACGACGAGGAGGACGTGGACGTCGACGTGGACGTGGACGTGGTTGCTGATCCCTGTGCCATTTCTTCACCCGGTACACCCGCCGGAAGTCCAGAAGGCAAACCCCTGACACCCTCGTCGCCCTCCGGTCAGTGGAATCATCATCCGTCGGCTCAGCAGATATCCTCGATCCATCTTCACAATCATCTCCACCTCAGGAACTACTACGTTCCCGCTAACTCTGGATCTGGTTCAGCCGTCTAATACCGTCCGACGGCTACCACCGGGACCACCGGGACCACCGGGACCCGGGCTCGGCCCTCCACGGGACATGGACCATGGCACTCTGCGTCATCAGGGATGCAAGTAAACTTTTCCAATGGGATATTCTAGTCCGGAGTTCACGTTAACCCGTCGGAGAGACCAAACCCAATCGGCAGCTCGTGCTTGTTACGAAAAGTGTATATAGGGAATCGACACTGTGTTATAGGGAAAGGAACAAATTTTGTTTTTCTCTTTCGTCCATTTGTAAATACCAAACGCGCCTTTGTCTTCGTCTCTGTACATTGGGAACATGGAAATGGGGCAAAGGAGGGACTGATGTCGTCTCGACTGTCTAAAGTGTAATATATCTATTAATTTAACATATGGTAAATATATTAGATAATGTGTTCTCTGCTGTTCAGGATCAATGACGATGACCCTACGAGTCTTCGGGATCTCTCTTGATCTCCTCTTCGCGGAATTTAATTAAATCATCCCGACCCACCCCCATCCCCACTATGTACGTATCCGACCATGCATGTAGTTACGTTTCGCAAGGATTGTCCGAGGTCACGTAAAGGTCAATTTATTTCATCTTTATCGTGTGGACCGAAATCTTACGCACGTGAGAGATCTGATCATGTTCGATGCGGCGGACGTTTTTTGTATTATATTAGCGAGAACCGCATGGCGGAAGCCTACACTACTTCTTCATGGAAATTTAATAAATTCTCTTCCCATGACCGACTTATGTTCTTATTGTACGCTTGACCTTTGAACCCCAACGATCCTTTTATCTTCCGAGCCGGGTATCGGATGCATGATCAATTTTTTTTTGTGTTCTTTATCGCCGTGGTTCTTTTTTTTTTTTTTACTAAGTTTGCATAGCTGCGAATTTAGAAATTAGTTTGAGGATCATTTACGGTATTTGATCTGATACTTTTTGACGTGTCATTGATAAATATTTTTTGGAGTTTTTTTTTTTTTGAAAATACTGTCATAATGGATGCTCGTTCGTTATTCATTGATTTTACAAGGAATCGATCGGTAATATACAGGGGTATTCAGTAGAAATCCAACCATCTGAAGTTAGCCCCGTCCATTTGATTTGTACGTTAGAACCACGTGTTTCAGGTGATTCCTTTCTGCTGATTAACTATATATATATATATATATATATATATATATATATATTCCCTAGTATATTTTAGCAGGGAAAAATTTATTTTAGTAATGTTGGAAAACTTACTTGAAATCTATATTATTTTTATGTAACGCAGATTGTCATTGATTAACGTGAACAAGTGACAGCTGACGTTACTTTGATATTGAACGTAATCTGGGTTCAACAATATGAAAAAAATGTCCTTGTTTTCTTAACATCGGTATCGGAACCACAAGCACGTGCACTTTTTAGTTACGTGAATCAATCAACGTCTATATTCTATCGACAAAACACGGTATAAGTCAAAGTAAAAAAATTTGAAAAAAAAAAGTAGAAAACAAAACTCAAAATTTTACTAAAATACGAAACGGGTTCAAAATTCAAAATTGACTGCGTGATACGAATAATCATTGTACAAAAAAAAAATTGATATCAAGAATGACTAAAGCACGTGACAATGAAATTGTCGTTAAAAGCAAATTCAAAATAGTCCCCAAAAGACCTGGGGTTAACGGTTTGTTGCGCTCGGTGACTTAACCAACTCAAAATAATTAGTGAAATCCTGAAACAACAAAAATAACGTAGCAACCCGTATCAGATCCTGCTTAAACGAAGGGTGCGTCAAATTTTTCATAAATCAGTAAAATATATATTGCTCCAATCCGGATTCACGTTTACATATATATATTAACAAACAGAACGAGATCGTCTTAACGTTGATCGTTGCTCAATTTCGAGGTTCCTCGTTTTCCTGAAGAAATCGTGCTCCGAACGTTTATCCGGTACTTTGGCTACACGAAGAAGATGGAAAGTGCACCTGGATATCCTCTAGCCGATCTGTTTATCGCAAATAATTCCCACGGCGAATCCTTTGCTAATAGGAAACACTTGTCTTGGACGGTATTGGGCAAAACCCTTCTTTCGACTCTGGTTCCTAGGGATAAGCCCCTATTGTTTTCTGGAAATGACCAGTGCCGCCATCTATGTAATTTTCTATCTTTGGTTTAACTTTTTTAAATAACATACCCGGCACACGCGATCGTTGATATGCGTATATATATATATGTATAAAATTTTGAAAAAAAAAAAAATTATAGAATTTTCATAATTATTTAATAATCATATATAAATTGAAATTTCCTTTCGACTCTCTTATCCAATGTCTCCTTCGTTCTTACTGATTACGACTATGGGCAATGAACCCCAGGGCAGTACTTGCTGATATTTGCCATGATGGGCTATACCTTCTATTGTCTTTGGCTTCATCAAATGATACCTTAGTAATGACGGACTGTGGACAAATCCTCCGACGAGTGCTTGGGAAGCCTCAGCTGGGAATGGAAGCAATTTGTAAAATATTGCTGGTAACGTGACAAACACGAGTACCGTAGTAGTGCCCGATACATAAAAGGTGTTCTTATTCAGAATGTTAAATAATCTCAGAAAAATATCATATACGATCAATCTATACGACTTTATAATTTTAAATAAAAAAAAAGTATAAAATTTTGTTTTTACTTAATAATCATTTTTCATTTATTCCATCAAATATCCATTGACTGTATGCAGGACTGGTAAGATTCCTAAGAAATGTTCCCAGCCTATAGAAATTTCTGCGTAAAAAAGAAAACAAAATTCGAGAAAAGAGAAAAAGAGATTCAAGAGGGTGTTAGAAAAATAGCTGACGTGGGGTTTGCCGTGCGAAGGAAAAAGTCGAATTGTTATTTTAAAACGAAGAAGACGGAAAGAACTATCATCCAGAGTTTTTGAAATATTTAACAAATAATGACCGTGCGCATCGGCGTGGGACATTGCCCGTCGTTCCACGAGAGGAAGGAATGGACCAGACTGGATGGAGCCTAGAAAAATGTTTGACCTGCCCCTTAAGAATCCTCCCTTAAAATTCCCAGATCGATCTCGCCATTCCCAAAATTTAATGACCCTACGAACTATGATTAGTCTTACGTATCGGATGGGTTAAAAAAAAATGATACATTTTTCAAAATCCCTATACCTATATTGATCGAACGAAATGACAATTTTCAAAATATTAGCTCCATTCAATAAATTTTCAAAAACAGGATGACCCCCGCCAAATTCAAGCCATTTTCACGTCATTCATTTTTTTCCTTACCCCTATATAGGATAACCCTCGGAATCTGGTCTGATCATTTCCCAGATAACTGGTCCAGCTCTGGTGACACTTTGGTTCACAAGGATTCTCACGATTGGCATTGTCCAACCGTGCCGATCGGATTTGCCCAGCATCCACAGGATGTTGTGTCCGGGTTGTCCGTTTGCGGCTGACGGTGTGGATTTGAAACGTAGACAGATGCATTAAACGTAGACGTGGTGGTAGGTGCAGGTATGTCTATTTGCTGCTCTGACTGCTGATCTAGTTATCCCTCGTTGTTGCCCTGCAAATGGATTTGCGGCTGCGCAGATTAGAATCGCGAACACCAGAATCCAAGAGTGCCAAATCTTCGGGATCTCCATACGGCCTAACCCCAGCGATAAAAATCAGTCCGAGACCAGTCGCCCTAACAAAAAAAAAAAAAAAAAAAAAAAAAAATCCCTAGGAAACAGACCGGTCAAGTACACTGAATATTCATCGGTTCGACCTTAAAAGGGGAACAAAGTAGCATACTCGATGCGGGGACGTATGGGACTGTCGATGACGTAAAATTTGGATTTCTTGTTTTTACAGCGTCTTTCGCGTTACTTTAAGAAAATATCATAACAAGCTCCTCCTTTGGGTAAGATTTTTTCGTTCTCATAACGCCCCTCAATAAAATTTCAATTTACCCTAAAAAGTCAAAAAATCGATCCACAGATTGTTTTACCACCCTTCACGTGAATTCCCACTAAATTTATTCATTGCATATACCTTTTTATACATATATATACCATATAAAATATTTTATATATACCATATAAAAACACAGCATAGAAAATTGGCCAAGTTTGAGGTTAGGTCATGTCAAGTCTAACCAGACCCAGACCCAGGATGGGTCCTACGGAAAGGACTTTGGCCCGAAGTGAGACCCGGCGTGAATGACTGAAGTGGGTCATTGCGCAAATATCGAGCAGGGTGGGAGCCGTGAATAAAGTCCCTAGGGATTCTCCCTAAAAATCACGGTCAACACGCGGTCCTCGTTCCGTCATTGTCCCGCAGGTAAAATATTAGCCGATTCTCAAGTGGGTAACCCAGGACACACCGGAATGGGCCCTTCTTTCCATTCATTGGCGAAGGGCCTGGTAAGTAGGCACATCCTACCAACCCCAGTTCAAGTCGAGCCGGTCAGGTCAGGTGTGACGTGCGATCGTCCTTAATGCCTAATAATCCATTTATGGCGAGTATTGTGCGCCTGTGAAAACTAACCAATGTATTTTTAGGACCACCTCAGCCCTGAATGACAAATAAATTCAGACTCCCAACAAACGAATACTTCGGTTTACTTAAATCGCTACACCACCCTCCCCCGATCATCCCTTACACCCTCTCGCTGGTATCAATACCAAAATTATATATTTGTATAGACAATATTTTCTCTTATTACCAACCGTAACTCCAATTTCCGTATGATACCCAGAATAAGTCCCAGAGTTACGATATTGGCATTAAAAAAAAATTGGGTCCGAGTCCCAAAATTTTTTTGAGACCCAAAAAAATTTTTTTTTTTTCAAAAATTCAAAAATACAAACACATAAATCGCACATCGAAATTGACTCAAATACTGAAATTTCGTTACCGAACCGGTAAAGCCGTATTGTTATTCGACATGGTTGTTAGGATTATTATACACTGTTATTACCATTGTACAAAATCATACAGCTCGACGATTACTTCACTCTAGTACTTCTATGGTAACACGGAGGGTCGGACCCGGAATCGTACGTTCGTTTTCCTTGGTATTGACTACGTGACGTGTCCTCGGGTTTAGCGCGTGTGCAACGCGTCGACGTTATTATGCGTCGCACAATTATTTTTCCCGAAGACTGGCTTCCCTGCTCGAATACCTCCGGACAATCGCGTCATTGGAAACGCGCCGGTAGAAAAATCAGAGACGATCGGGCGCGGGCTACGCTGGGGCCCCAACATGGGAGCCCTGGGCCTAAGGCTGATCTGGCAGCTGGTGACTTCCTTCGTTCTGCATACAAAAACGTTCTCCGACTGTGTACAATGCGTCTAAACATTTCGAGAAATCGGTCTTGAGTTTAATGATAATTGTCGCAAACTACTTTATTATCGGGCGACAGACCGGAAGTGATCATTGAGCAAGTTTGATGGCCGATTTAATCCGTTGCCGTTGTTGTTATTATTATTTCCCCTGATTGGAGATTTTTTCATGTTCTCCACAATTTTAACGTACGCAACGTATTTTTGTATTGATTTTTTTTTTTTGAACTTACAAATTTCCATCTCATCCATTTTTTGATCCGAGGAATCCGCAATGGCTTATGGTCCTTGTGGTTACTTATTTTTCGAATAATTTTGTAAAATCGTATCAACAAAATTAAATGCACGCGGACGGTTTCGAATGATTCTGCTGGGTGC